GGATAATAAAGATAAGCAAGTACATAGTTATAGTTTGCAACGAAGAAGTGTAATGTAGACAAGAAAAACGGGTGAACAAAAGTGAAGGGCATTATAGCTGACAGATGAGATGGATGAAAAACGAGAAAATAAACGAAGAAAGAGAAACAATTAGCAAAAGGAAATCACAGAATAGAAGCTGAATGAGATTGCAACTGAGAAAAAAATCTTTGAAGCCTTATTATTCGCTTACACGGTGAGCAACAAATCCTTTAATGAGGACAAATCGTTCATTATGAAACCGACACGAGTCCTGCCATGGTTTAAAGCCTTCACACCTTTGCTATCACGCCTGTGTCTGTTGAAAGCATCATGCTTTACAGAAGGAGAATACTCTTCATTTCCGTGCTGAAAAGCTGCCGGACGTTATTTTGAAAGGATTTTATCGCATCTTTTTGTCCTATCGTTGTAAATCTTTTAACACATTTTAAAGTCCATTTGAAAATAGTGCAGCGTATTAGAAAATCATCCATTGTTACTGGTTCATTATATAAAAAGTGGCTTGAGTCTGATCACACTTGCATACGACAGATGGATGAAAATAAGTACAGATTAAATGGTAAAGATATAATGTTTCTATAACTTTGAGACTGATGGTGGATTGCTACTTGGATGAAAGAGATGACGTTGGAAAACACTGTAATTGTAATCATTTATTAAGTATGCAAGGCAGATTTTGGATGTCCGGTCAGTATCGATGGATGTTACGCAAGTTGATGACAATATTAATAAAGTATGGTCAGGGAACAGCGGAAATAAAACTTAAGAAGCGGCTGCAGTGCTGTTTTAGGAAAATGGACAGAGGCAGAGTGTAATTGCTAAATTCTTTATCTTGGGATCCTGAAAAGAAATGGCTCTATTTTGTTCTGTTTTGACCTTGAACTCTATCCGTTTCTCAACGTCAAAGCCAGTTATAAAAGCATAGAGGAATATTTCTCTGCCGTAGCAAGTTCAGTGACGTCTTTATCTGCAATAGAAAGAACCCTACACATTCAGAAGGCAGAGATTAAAAGCGGCAGATTCAAAGTTATCAACGTTCTATCAGTCATAACGCGGTAAAGGAGACCTCAAATGGACGATAGGATCTGCTGTCGTATCCAAGGCGAATGTTTGGAAGTGTCACCTTACAACTTTAAAGTTTTCCAATTTATTTGATGATTGAGCATTCTTTCAATATGCCGATTCTGTGGCTTGCAGCTGTCTTTCGGCTCTGGATGTCACAACAGCGAAAATCAACCCGGACTACATTGAAAAAGGTTCGTCACAAACTTGCCAAATTGGTATAGGTCACTGAACCTAATTATTTACTTGCGTTGCATATAAGTAAACCGTTTTTTTTACATTTTTCAGTTTTTGAGTTTTCGAATTATGTCACTCTCTAAGTTGTTAACTTTCATTTATTCAGATGTACTTGGTGTCTTTCCAAATCACTGATGCAATAGGAAAGACTCTGCTAACCGAAATGTTGTCTAATGTGTTTTAAAAGTTAAAGGTCTAAAGGGTTGAAAGGTTATAACGTCCAATTTAAACATTTTTGGAGGAATTAGCAGGGTAACTGCTAAACCGTTTAAGGTCGCTTAACAAGTCTTCTTCTCTCTTTACCCCGTAAGTGCACAGATTAAGTAAAGGTTTCAGAAAGGGATCGATACGCGTGCTTGGATGAGAAAGCGACGTACCACAAAATAAATGGTTAAAGTCCAACTTCTACCGATTGAGATTGTTTATGGCCACAAATTCCATATAATAGAATATTTTGTTAATGATGCTAATCACTGCGTAATTGAACATTTTTTGACCGTTGAGTAACGGCCATTCTGTAACGAGGAATGCCCACAGAGCGAAATTATTTACAAATCTCTTACATCGTAAATTCTTAACGGTTCTCTGCCTGTTTGCTGCAAACCTCAAGGTGCCGCTCTAGTGCCAAATTCTCGATCAGAGTACCGTGGCAATGACTTATCACAGATGTATATACGTCGAAGTAGAACGTTCTTCAGGTTATTCAAGTGAAGACATTTGAAAATAACAACAGCTGGGTGCAAATAGACACGTCCTGGAGCATAGATGAAACGAGGAAGTTAAAAGTATCTAATAAAAGTGGAGTTTTTAAAATGAAAAGGTATATCGGTTACCCACCCCCCCCCACCCAGTCAATTCCTTGAAGGTTTTTCTACAGCTGACAGTTTGTCCTCAGACTGAGCGAATATCAAAGAATTTGCATAATTTTTCCACATCGCGAGAAAGTCATGTTTGGACTTTTCACGCATCATATGTGTTTCTGTTACTTTGGAAGAGTGCACAGAAAATTTGAAGACCGAAGATTTTGACATCCTGTAGCACTCAGTTCTGGTCCCATAGCGAAAGGATCATCTCAATAGGTACAGACTTCGTCGTCAACGTATATCACTACCAAAAGATGGCCCCTTTTATACTGTTCGTCATTGTGAAGTAGCCAATAGGCGTTTAAGATTTAATGGTTTCTTCCTGGTCGTACTCCAGTTGGCTAACCAGGTGTTAAGCGCAGATGGTTGATTCTTGATCAGGTGTGCTGTTTCCTAGTCTGGCTGAAAGCGGACGCGCGAAAGCAGCTGACATCGCAGCTGTGATTGTTATCGTCCCGACTCTTTTGTTGATCAAAGGGTTAGCCTTAACGATGATTAAATGGACCATGCTAAATGAAAAGACCAATGAAAATAAATTCATTAAAATTGTAGTCTAAATTCAATGTCTTTATGTTTGAAAATATTTTGTTTAATATTTAAAGAGTATATCAGACAGTACTGATGAATTTGTGACTTGTTACCTGTGTGAGTGAATGAGTGAAAGGTAGGGTTAAATAAGGGAGTGAATAAGACAGTGATGTGTATTGCAGGTGATATGCAAATGATCATCAGCAAAACTTTGAGAAGTTCTTTGAATATCAGCAAATAAAAAGATTTTTTTGAGACCAGCGTTAGCAACAGTGCTATCTTTCTTCATTGAAAGGATCGTAATAAAGCAGCGGGTATTCGTTTGATAATAATCACAATAATCAGCTGAATATCACGATGCATATTATCCAACACCTTCAAGTCCCATCTATAAGTACTCCACGAGGAAAATACAGTACTCAGTAACGAACCCTTCATTCTTTATAAGGCGGCACTAGGAATTCGATAGAATAGGGAACAGCTTCTAACATGGATTTCTTTGTCGCACTGAATTTTTGGAAATGGATTTTGGTAATGATGTCCAAATATGCCGAAACTTTAAGGAAATAATCTATAAATTTAGTCAATAGCTAAATGATTAAACGAGTTTTGCTTCTTTTTCTTTGAGCCTGAGGCAATTCGTCAATAAGTACGCAACTTCTAGACATTAGAAACAAATTAATATTGCGCATACATAGCTTACAGCAAGTATATGATTAAAATTTATATATTTTAAGGGATTTCTGTCTTGCGTGTACCTCATCCTCAGTAGCAACATTTACTCGCTGATCACGTACATTCAAATCGTCTACTGGTTGGCTATTGGGACAGCGATCGCAGCACTCTTTCGACTTCGCTTCACGATGCCCAATGCTCCACGTCCCATCAAGGTACCAGTTTACTGTGCTGCCCATTTATTTGTTTATGCCATGTTTAACGCCTAGGTGAATCTGATTTTTCCAATTGCATTTTTCATTGGTTGCGTTTTCCTGGTCATCGTGCCGATTATCGCCGCCCCTGTCGACACACGTACGACCAATGGAAATGTGTTTAGTCAGTATGCTTCTGTTTGCATGTTTAGTGATCGGCATCGCGATTATGCTCACCAGCGTTCCCGTGTATTTCGTCTTCGTCAGATGGCACACTAAGCCAGCTTGGATCAACGATGGATTGGGTATAAACTCAAATTTTTTGGCATCTCACGTCGCTAACCGCTATTAGGCATAGTTTTAGCAATAACCCACAGTAATATTAATATTTAAACTGTTAAAAGTGTGTAAAGTATATTTGGAAGTCCAGCGTAGCGTAAACATCTAAGAAATCCAACATTTTTTATATTGCTATGGAAAGTTTGAAAGAGCTGCTCGGATTCTATCAGATATCTCAAAGCAGTAATCACTTAGTGCGCCCACTTAACAGGATTGGCAGAAAAGTCGCAACCTCTTCTACGGTTTGAGACACCTAATGCAGTGGCGAAAGTCTGTTCGATGAACAGCATGTGAGAAGGCAGTGACAGTATCCATTGTGACACTGAACGCAGTTCTACTCTTTTGCGGGATATCATATTTTCTGACTTGAAGGTAGCACCAGACAGTCGCTCTGGCATACTGTAGTTTCACTGAGTTGACCGCAGAGGTTCAAAGGCTCCTGGAAGTTACGCAACTGCCGGAAGTAAAACGACGGTTGCACGTCACTCATTCCATTGAGCTTCAACGGAACCGCGAGAAGCCGAGCCATCCTGCATCCAAAACCAAAATAAGCTGACTTAAACAGCGATTAGCAACCAGAGGATTTGCAGCACAGTGGAACGCCGCATTCAGTAATATTACTCTGATACATGCACCCATGTTGAAAAAAATAAAGGGGTTACCTGAATCTGTCTCGCCTATGCTGCATGTCACAAACGAGGAACACCCCGGCAAGCCCAAATGGACACGTGACAATGGTTCATCTGTCCATTCAGCGCTTATTCTTAAACGAGTGGTTGCAAGGAGCAAAGGCAGAATGCAACGGTTTACATCATATAGCATAAATCTGTTGTGCTCATAGCGAATGCAATCTTTTTTTTTAATGGCGCCGCGAAATCATTTGATGAAGTTGTTCTTGTGCCCAAATATCTGAGGGAGCTTTTCGCCCGGTTGGAGCCAAAAAGGAAGTATTCATCACACTACTCACAACAGTGATGCTTAAGTCTTGTCAGTTTAGGGGAGAATAATTACTTGAATATTAAATAAATATGAATTGATGAATAAATCTTCTAACTCGCTGATTGGAGGCATCAGGGGTTGTAAAGTCTGTGACTATAAGATATCTGCTTTTTATTTTCGTAGGAATGCAAAAACTTACTATTGTTAGTACATTAAGTCGGTCAGAGGAGGAAAGTTTTTTTAGCTGTTGAAATGCAGATATTCCGTACATTTTCACGATGGGGTTATTCCATTTTCATAGCGTCAGCCAGGGGTGACTTAATTTAAGGTCAGAGTCGACAGCAGCTAGGTGACAAGCATGAAGTGTGATCTTTTGCCTCCTTCCAGCAGTGTTACTCATTTGCCAGTCTTGGAAGCAAGAAATGTGGTCGACCCGACCGGAGCTCAAACCCAGGATCTCTCGACGCTCTGCTGATTGAATAACACCGGTTTTCACGATCAGAAGCTCAGATCAGTTTGTAATAATATCAGGACAGTATTCGTGTCGAAGTATGTTCCGACCACTTCCACTGATTCGTTTCCTGCGTTATTAAAGATCCGTCTGTGTCAGAACAAACATGAGTTTCTTTTTTAATCTTTGTTTATGAAATTCGTTTGTCCGTCTGTGTCAGAACAAACATGAGTTTCTTTTTTAATTTTTGTTCATGAAATTCGTTAGCCGTTTTAAAACCATATTGATCATCTCGAATGGATGGTTCAGGTTGGATGCTTGCTTAGATCATGCTATGCTATCCAAAAATAAACTAAATATGCTTATTTAGGGGGCTATTCCCTACTTTGGTCATGCTGCGGGCGGCGCTGCCTGGTATTCGATAATATGAAAATGATTACAAGAAATCATGTATTTTTTATTTAACCTAGAAAGGGAATATTGAAGTCAAAAAAAATGCCAAACCTTAACAAGTTTGACCGAGCTCCTGCAGTCAAGTGATCTGGTGTTGCATCCGTACACTGCATGTGCTGATATACCATAATCCGGTTTTTGCCTGCTAAATTAGTCCCCTAGGCCGCTAGAAGGAAGGAACTATGCCTCTTCGCCGTGCAAATCCGATGGTAGAAGAAAATATTATTTTTCTTAAAGGCAGTATCGAAAACTAGCAGTATGCTAATAAACCGATATGATCAGTGTTTATTTTTGTGCATAAATATATACTTTACTTGTGACAATTTTTATGGTACCTGTCTATGTTTTAAAATAACTTCAGCCCGATTAAATTATGCATAATAAACAAGTATTTAAAACTTTTCCTGTTCTTTTAATTCCTTTGCATCGAAAAAGATGCCAGGCGTCGTATAAGCACTTCTTCTGGATCGAATAAATTCGTACTTACTCTTCAGACTTTTCGATGTCATGGCAGTTCTAACGAGATCTTCCCATACTGTTAAAGGCATTCCTGGTGGCTGTCTGCCTGTCAGGTTTTCCATTCTGAAGGAGTAAAATATTTACTACAGACACCACCACAGTTGCATGCAGAGCCGCTATACATTTTTGACTGATCTGAGGTATCCGTTTGCTCCTCAGAGAGAGATTCGCCATGTTCCGATATCCCACTGTGATCAAAATGACTAATCTCTACTCATAATTGTTATGGTGTTTGATGTAAGTTTGCTGAAGCCATGGCATCGATTACAAATCTATTTAATATTTCCCTACGTATGTTTTATCTCGGCCACATTCTAGGTGTATTTTTAGTAGCCGATTGGTGAATCATCCAAAATCTCTGTATGTACTTTATGTACGTCTTTATTTTTTAGACAAATTTACGCTGTCCGTGCAGAAGTTGTTCCTCGTAGTTCCAGAGGAAAGGCACGAAGAGTAACAATGTGAAGAATACACGAGAGTTTCCAAGGCAAGCCATTAAGTTCATTTCCAGAGATATCGACCTCGACTTACGTTGGACATCGCCTCGACATCACTACTGCTGTTGGCGAGTTGTTAGTTACTTAAAAACTGCTGTAAGTCAGTCTTTGTTGTGAAGTTGTTAAATGCCATTAAATCTAACATCTCCCCATTCATAAGAGTAATATGCATCTGCTGTGAGATTGTTAGCATTTGCTCCTGTCGATGATAATCGAAAACTAATTCCACAAACTGGAAACATTCCCGTACAGAAAGAAAAGTGAGACTGTTATATACCGTATATGAGTGCTCTTCCAGTAAAGTTGCCAAGCTGTTCATGAAAGCGAATTGCTTTTCAACAGTGGTGCGCCTTCATGGCCTAATTCTTGTGCACATACATGCAACGAAGTTTGCATGAAGCTCATCGAGGGGGGGGGATTTTTTATGTGGTTACTACAACATTACTTTTCTGGTATACTGTTGCAGTGTCCATGGCGATGAGCCACTGAGTCGCGGTTAGATGCGTCATTAAGGTGCCACGAAATAGTCATTACATTGCACCGATTGTCATCACGAGTCTCAGTGCATTTCGAACAGCTTTGTTGAGAGAAGTGCAGCTTTTGCCTACTTATCAGGATCTATAATTCCGCAAATATGTCAATATTAATTGGCTATTATGAAAATAGTCATTATACAATAGGCAACATATGTCATTGATGAAAGGTGACCATTACGATATCCGAATTTTTTGATGACCCTACTGATATGCAATATACACCATTTGTAGGACACCCTATATCTTGATCCTTTTGCCAGTACAAAACCAGTTTGTTTTTGACGTTGGATCGAACAGACAATGTGTGAAAAAAAAATTTTTGTGACTGTATTTATTAAGCAATGAATGAATAATGACAATCAATGAATCATAATGAATGTTCAAGTCGAATACAATTAGTTGTTTATAAATAGGTGAAAAATAGTATTAGCAAATGGGTGTGTTGTAGTTATGTTGCGGTCGGTTTTAATGAATACTGGGTTCCAAAATGTTCACTCAAGACTTTCGTTCTGAACGTCACGGTTAGGAAGATTAACAGCTGGCAATAACTTCATATCCAGTAAAATGAGGTTCTTCATTTGAAAAAATTAAACCAGAATCAGGGTCGTTTAGAACTTTCTCCTGAAGTTTCCCCATCTCTCAATCTGAAAGAAATGGCATACCGTAAATGAATACCCGAATAACAATATCCACTTCCAATAAATTAAAACCGTATTGTACGGAAATGAATTGAATTCAAAGCTGCAGCTGTACTCAAAACGAATTTTTTTAGGAGATCTAGGCACTCGTTTCATTAACGAATTTATATAAATTTTTAGGTTTTCTTTCTAAATCAAGCGGTAGTTCCGAGTCAAAGACCGTACGGTCATTGTTGAATTCGGTGGAAGATTAGGAGCTACCTGAAGATTGGCTCAAACCTGGTGTTATTTGTTATTATTCCGTTTTCGCAGCATTGCATGGTTGCAAGACTAGTGATGAATCTGTGACGAATCAAACTGATACAGAAAACAAACAATTATAAATTTTTAATCCAGTAAGACAAAAGAAAAGAAATTCTAGAATGATTTCATATGTTTTTTTCTTCTTAATGCTGCTGTTTGTTAGTCTCTCGTCATTAATTAGATATCCCTTTTTTTCAAATTGCTTCATTGAGAACGACTCTGATTGTATCACTTTCTACGACATGGTTCTTCAGCATGTTGTGCTCTGAAGAAACAGTCCAACTCGTCTACTCCTCTACAAAATCCCTTGTGTTTACGGTTCCAGCTGTTCATTACTTACTAGTTTCATTAGCGTAACTCTTTCTGAACGACAACAAGTAAGGATAACAGCTTTATTTAAAGTTTTTCTTTGAGAAGCGCGTATCTGCAGGAGGAAGATCAATTTTAAATAAAAAAAAACTTCCGATTTTTTGATCTCGGGTTCGTATCATACATATGTTGGTGAACAATTCATGGTTAAGGGCGCCAAGTACAATAGGTAGTAAAACCGTTTATTGTCAACGCGTTTCACTACACAGGCCGTGGCAT